CTGTACCCGGTAAGTCAGCCTCTCTGTAGGTAGTCCTCAGGCAGACGGGTTTGAAATCGGCAAGCAGGGATCGTTGTCGTCGTACGGGTGCGTGGGTCGTAATCCGGAAGGTCAGTCCAACGAAGAAGCACGGGACTGGACGACAAGAGGGAAGGAGGACAGGAGGCACCGGGCTCAACAAGGTAGAAGGATCAGGAACGGGAACGGGACTGAGGAGGGAAGACACAGGAGGCAAGGGTTCAACAAAAGATGAATTGGAAAGGTATGTGACGGAGACGGGGGACAGAAAACTGCTTGGTCTGGCGTCTTTTCATCAGCTCAATACTTCGCGATTAGCTGGAGTTAGAGCTTCTCTTTTAAGTGTTGTGAGAAGAAATGGCAACATTACAGAGTGGTAAATGCTTTACCTTCCCAACTTTTTTTGGCCTGAAATGCAGGAATGCATGTATATTAAGAAATGAAATTAAGTTGACCAGACAAAACATGAAATATCTTGGGTTCATACTGTCTGTAATGAAATGAAAGTCAAAGTAAATTTAAGAATCACTGTTTTTTTTTTCTTTGCATTTTCCATACCAACTTTTTCTGATTTGGGGTTGTAAATAAAGAAAATGTCCACTGTTCAAATAATCATTAGCCAATATTAAGAAAAGTAAATAATGCAAGCAAATTCAAAAAATCCATTCCGTTCTGTAACCTGACTGAAATGAGATTTAACAGGTTTTAAATATACATATGCTTGCAGTCCAGCATAAACTATTAAATATTTAAATTGGCTAAGATAAATGAGATTCTTATGCCAATGATAGGATGGTAACATGATAAATTGGTTAATAAACTAACCAGAATCCAATAATTTAATCAACATTTAAACATATCACCCAAACTTCTCAATCAAATAAACAGCAGACACTTTTGAGTGAGAGAAGTTTCCTGTTTATTAGGTCTGTTTGAACAGTGGTTCCGCGTACGCAAAGGAGAAAAGCCCCCCCACTTACAAATCAATATACATTTTATACCTCTTTTGTGAGTGATTTCCCTACATGAAGTTTGAACTCGCCAGATGCTTCTCATTAGCTCATCTCTCTGTTCCCTGTTAGCCCGACTCTTATCAATCTTGCTTCCTTTTCATGGTTCCTGTTACAAGGACCTCTCAGTTCCGTCTGTAAAGCTCCTAAAATTTCCTACAAGGCCCTCACCTGCTCACAGCTCCACACACTACTTGTATCACTGCACAGAAGATACGAGCACGAGCACCCCGGGAATACCTTGTGTACTGATGTGATGGGTGTGTGGTGTTCGGTAGAAGAAAACCGTTTGCACACTAAACTGCTCACTACAAAGTCTGTGGATTGTTTTCAGTCATGATTTCTGGTAAGAGACATTGCTGTTGATTTTTTCAAATGCATTTTTCTGGTGCTTTACGGAAGCCCGACATTTCTACGGCCCATATATTCAAAACTAGGCAACTCCCAGTAGAACAACCTAAATGGATAGATAGCATTAAAGCCCCTCTAAAACATATCTTTTGGTGTGAACTGCCCCTTTAAACTAATTAGCATTTTGCTTTAGGCACTGTCTGTAGTAATGAATGTTAACTAGCTACACTTGATGATGATGATGATGAAAACCCTTTATTGCTGTTGCAATATACCATGTCACTAATCACAAGTACCAGCAAAAAAACTGGCCATCAACCTGACCATACATATACAAACATCACATTATAGGGGGTAGACAGGTCAGGCATGACTTTCTTTCTGTTGACCAGTGAAATTTCTTTTACTACTATCTGGGTAGCGACCTCTCGCATCATTAAAAATGGCCGAGGCTGCTCATTGGTGGGAACACTGGCCGGGGCTGCCCATTGGTGGGAACACTGGCCGAGGCTGCCCATTGGTGGGAACACTGACCGGGTTTCCAGTGGGCAACGCTGGCCTTCTTGCAACTTGCAATGAGTTCTCCTTCGATATATTTGCGGGAGTTGGAAAAAGAATGAAATTAAGTACTGCTCAAATATGTTTTTTGTTACTTTATCAAGCTATTATTTATGCTTGTGAGTGAATAGAAAGTTACATAAAATTTTTCACCAAATAAAAGAAAAATAGGTTATTATTTGGAGCCCGCCACTGGCAGATCCCAATGCAGGGCCATCGCCATCTTCAGATTCAGCTGGGGTGAGCAAGCAACTGGCAGGAGTTCTGGCTCACCCCCATACAGGACAACTGCATCGTGGGTGTGGATCTCCTAATCAGTCAGCGAGCCATCCCCGACCTGTGGTGGAACACCCTGGCCCTGTGAGTTAACAGTCACTGTAATTACCAAGAAGATTGCTGTTGAGCAGAAGGTGTGGGAGATGCTGGCTTCTGGAGTCACTGAGTTGTCCTCTAGTCCGTGGGTCGGCACTGCCATTCTTGTCAAGAAGAATGACAGCACCTGGTGGTTCTGCGTGAACTACTGTAGGCTTAACGCGGTCACCAAGGTCCTATCATCTGCCATGTATTGAAAGAGTCTTGGACACCTTAGCCAGCTTGTGGGGGTTCAGTTCACTGGAGCTCCGCAGCAGCTGCTTGCAGGTGGACCTGACTCCCGAGGCCTGGGAGAAGACGGGCTTCACTCTGGGGTGCGGCCTGTGGCAGTTCTGGGTTGTCCCCTTTGGGTTGTGCTATGCCCCCCTGACTTTCGAGAGGTTGATGGAAGGGCTGCTTGAAGGCATCCTGAAAAGCTGCTGTGTCTACTTAGGCGATCTACTTGTCCACACCCACACTTTCGATGATACAGCAGCCAACCTGCACCTGTTGTTCTTGACCATCCAGTGGGTGGATCTCCAGCTGAACCTGGTGAAGTGCAGCATCCTACAGAGGGCGGTCAAGTTCCTGGGTCATACGGTCAGTGAGAAAAGCATTGAGACGGACCCAGAGAAGGTGAATTTATTATTATTATTCTGTGGTTTATTTACCATTTTTGTCATTTTTCCCAATTTTGCCACTGTCATTGTGAGAATTTGCACACAAGTTTTTCACTTACCTGATGTCTACAAAGTGTCAAGTGATATGACAAATAAATGATTTGATTTGACACAGTATTATTGGAAATCAAAGCAACTTTATTGAGCAGTAGTGGTGCTTAGAGGATACATGTTAAAGGGGGACATTTGCAAGGGGCACATGGAGAAATTTGGCTAATTACCTGCCCACCGGTTGTGGTATGGAAAAGCTTGACAGGTTCAGGCCACATACTGCCTTTCAGGTCAATATAGCACTTTGGGACAGACCCAGTCCCCTCACCCCAACCTCCAACCCCCCCCCCAGTATTTCAAAGCTTTCACCTAATAATATGATGAGGAAGGTAAAGTACAATGCACTTTTGTTCCATGTAATGAAAGGTAACCTGTTGGACTGGATTGACAAGCAAATAATCAGGCTTTGATACATGAGAGATTGTTTGCACAGACCACTTACTAGCAGTAGCCTCATACTCACATCTGCCGCCCCCCCACCCCCAGCCATAACACGACAGGGTAAACGTCGAGTACGACCTGATTTATACTTACACATACACTACCCATTAATTTTTTTATTTCTATTTATTTCCTTAATATTCTATTTTCAGGATATTCTGTTTGTGTACTGTGTACTTTTTGCAATTTATTTACTTGTACTATCTATGCTTTTTGTCTTTGATTTACACGATTGCTTATGTGCACCTTATATACCTTGCTGTGGTATGTGATGAATCCCCCCCAGTACCTTATCTTATTGGCCTGCTCCTGGGATTCAGGGAAATGGTGTGCTGTGGTGGTTCAGTGTGTAGCACTGTTGTATCTGGCCGTCTGAAGCCCAGCTACACCTTTGAGTCTGAGGAGTTGCATTTTATTCTCAGGTTGCATGGGTTTCCTCCCGCAGTTTAAAGCCGGTATCTCAAAATGCACAAAAAATGTGATTGTGTTTCAATACAGTGGGTGAACAAAATAAAATAGACACCATATGTAAAAGAACCTTTTCTCAAAGATATTATGAGGCAACTAACAGGGTTTCAAAGAGGCTAAATAGTCAGTAACTAAATTGCAGGTGGTTTGGGCTAAAAAGTATTTAATGTATCAAGGAGAACAGTCAAAAATCATAACAGCACGTGCCAGACAGACAAAATTAATCAGCAATGAGGAACAATGATCACATATCGAAGCTCACAGGCAGGGTTAGACAATTAATTAATAGAATAGTTGCTAAACACCACAGGAGTAGAACCTTAAAAAATGACAGAACTAAATCAGTACCTTTGTGATCCAGCCTCAGCAAACACTTTATGTTGTGAGTCTCAAGTTGGAGTTTGTATCAGTGCACAAAGAAGCATGTTGTAGTGTAAGGACCACCAAACCTGGAAAGAATAACATGGTCTAAAGAATCATCCTTCAAGTTTACATTTAGAGGAAGCCAAAAAAAAAGCCAATGTGTTTTGGTAGGGGGGTCATCTTGTGAAAGTAATTTGGTCCAATGATTCCTCTTCATGGTCATGTAATGACCAAGGGATATGAGGCCATTTTACAGGACCAGTTATACTTTATGGTGCAAACACTGTAAAGCCTAGTTCATACTTCATTATTTCCGGGTATTTTCGGGCCTTGGACAGTCAGGTGCGTGGAATCTTGTGTTCATACTACATGTGTCTGTGGACACCGATGGTCGCAGTCAGTGCTGGTATACAGCAGTGATGTTCCACCAGGCCAGGAAAGGGCAGAAATATTGCAACAAACCAAAATACAAGCAGTGTAGTGAAATGGGTAAACTTTTTATGAACAGTGTTAAAATTGCTAGTTTTCTGCTTGATTTCTTTGGAACATTTTATGAAACATACTAACATTCTCAAGACTATAAGAGCATTTCTCATACCAGTTCATGCATACAGCACAGCACGATGGTTTAGCTGCAAAAACCTGTAACTTACCAAAAACAATTAACTTGTCTCAAAAGCAAATAATTCCACCACTGAATTAGTCGATGCCACCAAAATGTCTTAAGAATGTCAAGTATGTGTCATTAATTGTGCCAAAGCAAACAAGAAAAACTGTAACTGTTTTGGGTGCGATATGGCCTTTTGCAGCTAAACTATAATGCTGTGCTATATGCATAAACTGTTTTGAAAAATGCTCTTGGTTGGGAGCATGTTCAGTATGTTTCATGAAATGTGCTGAAGTAAAAACTGTATTCATGCCAATGACACCAGTTTCAACATTGTATTACAGTGACAACAGGACCATGAGACACATTTGTCTGAAACGTAATTTTTACATATACAGTTGCTCCTCCAGATTTGTAAATTTAACATTTGCAGTTTCGGTTATTTGCAAGTTGGCCACAAACAATTACATGGGAATATTTTTGGATTACGGGTAAGTCAAAAATATATAAACAAAACTGAAACTAATTTGGATCACAAAAAATCAGTCTGTTATTTAAGTGTATCAAGTGTTATTTAAAATTTGTTAGTGTATGTGCATACTAGATCTTTAATATCAAAAATTATTTTTGGTAGCAAAAAAAAGAGCCTACACATCTTGGCTTGGGTTTGCCATGCATCTTTTTCTCAGCATGTCTTTGGGGGGAAACCGTAGCACCCAGAGGAAACCCCATGATGACATCATTAAAAAAAATTTTTTCTTTTAGCGATTAGTTGTCATTGTTTACACACCACAGCACACAGTGCACAACAACAAAATGTGTCCTCTGCATTTAACCCATATGTGACATAGCAGGGGGCATCTAATTCAGCACCTGGGGAGCAGGGCTTGGGGGCAGTACCTTGCCCAGTGTACCTCAGTGGTGCAAACTTTCAATTACAAATGGCGCTTCCCTAACCATTAAGCCACCACTGCCCACATGGGAAGAACATACAAACTCCACACACATGTAACCCATGTAGGAAGTATTAGCTCAGGTAAATTTTAATATCTCCACCAATATGTTTTGAAATTAATTAAATTTTAATTAATTATTATTTAATGCTGATTATTAACCGATTGTTATGCCGAGTGGTCGGCTCCTCCAAACTCAATTGCGGTATCCCGGTGAGTCTGTTAATGTGAGACTTAAATGGGATTCACTAATTGCCAGTATCGCTTAGTAACCTGGGTTAGAAGGCTCGTCCAGCGAGCTGCATCACCAGGTAATGTACACGATTGGTAGCAAAGCTCCCCTCACGGCCGATGAGAGAGAGTCTCGCGATATTTCAGGCGAGTTTGAGGTTTCAGAGCATGTAGCAAGATCGCACAGAGGTAGGGACTATTGTGAGCACTCAATGAACGGAGGCTGAAGTTGTGTAAAAGACATGCATTTATTCCTAACTAACACTACAAGTAACACAAGACAGACATTACACTTAACAAAAACAACAAACACGAAATAACGGAATAGAAACAAACAATGTAATTATGGAAATGCAATGACCGAATTTGAATGAGTAATCTTAAAAGGGAAAATACTGTTCTGCAAAGCAAGTACAGTTTGTGGAAACACGACCCTAAAGTCTTATAGCAGGTTAACAGAACAGCTTAAGTTGTTAGAATGAAAGGAAGCTGGTTTACTTGGTTGCAGATTGGGGGGGGGGGAGCACAGCAGAGCACAGCATTGAACATCTACGCACATTTCTGGTGGTCTACACAATGTTTTGATTGAACATGAATAGGAGACACATTAGTAGGCAGTGCATTCTGTGTATGTTGTCATTTAGGACAATGTAAGCTTCCACCATAATGCACGTATATGTAAGTGGTCTACAGCAATGATAACCAGCATTTTATACATGTTTGCCTTCCACCATACTCCCCCTTTCTAAACCCCACAGGAGATTTTTTCCCAGCATGCAGTGGAAAATCTATGACTGAAACCTCTATACTCAGGAAGATTCAGTCAATGGATTTGGCCGGTGGTGATGTAGGTGTGAAATCCTGTCAAGGCTGGATTTGGCCCACCACAGGATTCTGATCCTAGGAAGGTAGAACATTGCCCGTGACATAGATGAAATCCTGTAGCCAGACCCTGTCCAGAGTCGTGTTGCTCAGGCAGAATGAATAACTTCACAGTTGCACAGCTCTGTTAGTACAGTAATATGCTTTTCCTTTAGATCACTAATCATCAACTGGCGGCCCACGGGCCGAATCCGGCCCGCTGAGCCGTTCAATCCGGCCCGCTGAGCCGTTCAATCCAGCCCGCGACTGGATTCCAAAATTGTGAGGATCAAAAAGAAAATAGTGGTCCACACTATTAAAGCAACTAAAAATAACAACAACTGAGTCTCTTGTCAGAATAACCACCATTTATGACTATATTTAGGCTATGAAATGGAAAAAGTATAAACATTAAACATAATGTTAAGCCAAAATTAGATTTTTATTGCATTTTCTTCTTGGGGGTCCGGCCCCCAAGGAGACTGTCTGGTAAAACTCTGGCCCTCTGACAAATATAGTTGATGACCCCTGCTTTAGATTTTCAGTTTGTCTTTGCGCTTTTATTACTGGACGCTTTGCCATAACTACTGCAGACAGACATACATGCACCATAAAGCAGGCTACTGTATTGCATACAGTATGTAAACAGCTTTTTTGCATGTTATTCAACTGTTAATCACAGGTCTAAGTTTGCTAAGGTGTGGTTAATATACTGAATGTGCACAAGAGTCAATACAAATGTGAGTTCTGCCTCTGTCTTACTCCTCAAATCATGGATACTCATCAGAGTATCCATGAGTATCATGAATGAGAAAAGTTAAAGTTCTTTCTATACCAGTGCCAGTCAACCCATTAGGTGACGCAGGTTACCCTGGGGTGGGATTTGCTAATATTGCTTTAGTTTCTTCTGGTTAACTAAATTTTGTAATTTATACAAAATTATACCATTTTGTCATTTTAATTTTTATAAATGAAAAGTCATGAATATTTAGTTTTTCAGTTCATGAGTACTTACATCAAATCCACGTATTAGACTTTATTTGACTCACTTCTAATAAGTTGCTTTTACAATCATTTATGAATATTCTATGGTTTCTTTGTTAAATTACATTTATGTGTGGATTATAACTTTAATGATACGGCTAAATCTTGGAACTTTCATATGAAGTTTCAGCATTGTGATTGTTTTATTTTTAATTTGGAGCACACAGACAGCAGAAAGAACAAGGTTTCAAATATTAGTCAGAGTGCATTGACATTTACTTATTTACGCGTTTGTACAAAGTGACAAGATAGACAAATAGTGTGGTAGAAAAATTACCTCCCTAATAACTCTAGTTAAGCCACTTAGAATAAAATTCCTCTCATTTGGTGAGCAAAGTAATCTCTTTTATTCAAGCAATCCAGCAAAAAGCTCCAGTCACATTCTGGCACCAGGTACCAAGTACCCCCAGCATCAAGAGCAACCAGTTGATCAACCATAACTCTCAATTCCAGATAAGGACTTCTACAGTAAGTCCTGATTGGTCACAAAACACCAACAAACCAAGCTCAAACGTATAACAAACACAATTCTCCTGCTCTATTGGTTCACCTTGGTAGCAAGGTAAAATCCACCCATTTTGCTCAATTTACCAAAACATGTCCCAACTGCTAGGCTCCTACTTGAGATATAGATATTGAATATATTGACATTGCATCACTGTAAATATATGGTTAACATATGATTAATATGATTAACGTGACAACTACTTATACATTTGTACTACCACATAACATATTGTGTATGGCCTACTGCGACTACTTCATAACTACAACTGTTTGTGCACCAGTTGGGGCAGCTTCGAATCCCTTCCTGCCCTTCTCCGCTGTCTGTCCTTCCAAGGTCTGATCTCTCTTCAGCGTCTGCAGAACCGCAGGCAGCTATCATGAGGCGAGGACACACAGTATTCAAAACAATCTCTTCTTGCCTAAGACATAACAGACCCAATATGCCGGGCCTACCAATTTCAAATTTTCTTTCCACAATAGCACATTACAGACATATGTCTGTCAAGGAGTTGACTAGGCATAAGTGCAGCTAGGCTGGGGTTCCAATGAATGGCCAATACAAATGCAAGTAATATGGTATTAATATGTAATTTATATTGGAGCAAGAGCTATACAACTATCTTTCAAACAAAACAAGAACCTAATAAGACTATTAAAATCAGCAGGCAAAGTATAACGCTAAGAGCATTTAGGGAACATAGATTGGTGTAGGTTAGTAGAGGTGTTCCTGGAACGGACAGGTGTCGATGGGTCAGAGTTCCACCAAAGACAGCGCAATACAATGTCTAATACATTATTTCTTCATGTTATGTCATGTCAAGTCAATTTTATTTATAGATCATATTTAAAAGAACAGCAGTTGACCAACTGGAGTATGTGTGTGTGCATGCAAAACAGTATTTACATATTTAGTTATTTATAGAAATGTCATACCAATACTATGCAACTATTACAAACTTAATTCATTTGTAGGTTGTACATTTCACTGACGAAACACAACATTAATACAACGGGACTATGGACCCAAATCAATTGACCCTTTTCCTTTTTCCTAATTTCTGTTTGGCATCACAGACAGTGATCCTTGAAATGTAAATCCCACATAAAATTCAATATTCTCATTACCAGCAGATACTGAATTCAGGGCACGTATCTTGATCTCTTTTGCTTATCTTCTGGTTATACAGATATTCCCATCAAGCCACTTAATTCTTTTTTGTGTATTTGTGTGTTTTTTCAAGGTCGGTATCATACTTTTATGGATGAACTTTCCATTGCCAAGGTAGAAATGAGTGAAAACTCTCAGCCGTTTGTGAGGCACATTTTTCCTTCTGTTGTTGTAGCTTCTTTTCAGAACATCCACAGCAGACATAAGGATTTCATATTTGTTATCCCTCTCCTGATTGGTGTCATCATCCTCTGGCCAGAAAAGCAATGTGAGTAAGAACAGGGCACTGGGGTAACATCTGTCTCTGTCCTGAGGGAACTGCTGGCTGTGTGCTTGAAGTTCCTTAAGTTTAGAGGGAGTGGATGCATTTGAAACACACCCTAGAGCTATCTGAGATGGTATGTAGTTGGCCTGTTCCATTTCATCAGGTATCTTCAGCTTACTGTATATGGAAATGATGGATTCTAATTGAGCCTGATTTTTTTCAGACAAAAGAAAGATGCTGGTAATATTATCACCTCCAAGAGAACAAATTTCCATGCGTGTTGATAATTGATTTTGGTCTTCAGAGGGCAACTCTACATCTTTGAAAAATTTCCCATATCAGGCAGTTTTTGTAGCAAGCCATTTTATTGGATTCCATATTCTCAGGTCACAGATGTATTTTTCATCACCATCTGAACTGATATCAGTCTGAAAGTAGTTCAGATCTTCTGAAATTCTCGTGAGGGCATCATGCATATTCTTCTGAATGGATTTAAGTTTACTGTGAAAACAGTCCCACGGCTTTTTCACCCTTTCTGGAATGTGCTCTGTCACTAAATACTGCACACTTTTCTCCATGTGGAAACACTTTCAAAATTAGATTCAAAAGATCGCATTCTTCAATTTCTGAGAAGTAGCCTGAATCATTCAAGGAGTCCTGCTCTGAATTGGCTGCTTCCTCGCACTCTCTGCAGCGTTCAATTGCCTTTAATGCTGTTGCAATTGCATCTGCTGTGGATTCTGGGCTCAAGTCACCTTTAAGATTTTTATATTTGTTAATGAACCAGCTTTTGAACACTTGGCCCTTTGTATCCAAGATATAGGAGTTGTACGGCATTTTTTGCAAGGATACATTTGCCCATTGTTAGAGTTGGATGTTTCGAGACCACTTTTACGTGGTCTTGGTCTTATCACAGTCTCAACGGTCTTTGGTCTTGGTGTTGTCTTGGTCTCGCTGTCTCAGATCGACATAGTGGTCAGGAGATTTGGAGCGAAAAGTATCCATGACACACAACGTAACGTTCAATAATGCAACATTATTATTATTTCGCCTTTCGCGCCCTTCAAATGCAACCAATCAATGACATACATGCATTTTGTTGTGATTCAAACATTGGCGCTCATCCAATCAAAATATGCGTTATATGCGCAAAATAACTGTAGCGCTAATTAAACGTTAGTTACATGTTACATGCCACTGTAGACATCAAGATGTCAGAATCTTTTAAGTACTTGTCCTTATTCTTATTAATGCAGAATTTGATGTGCAGTTTGGATTGGTATATAGTATTTCTACTTTGCATTTGATTCATGTGACGTGTGCACGTCTTTATATTGTTTTATATTGTGTTTGACTAAATAAATGTGACCATTAACTTTTAAATAACATCTGCATATCACGTTGTGTTGACTTAACAGGCCTAATCCATTTCAGGGAAGTTGATATCATACAGTGTCATTTGGCTAGTACTACTACAATGGGACATGATGCAATTTTAAGTTTATAATTGTGTATCTTCAATTTGATGTTACAATTTCATCTACAGATTAAGTATAATTGAAATCAGTTACATATTTCCCATTCTTTAGACAGTTGTTGGAGGTGTTAGCTGTTTTGTCAGATGACTTTGGGACCAGTCAGTACCCGTCATGTCAGCTCTCAACAGCACACAAAAGTTAAGGGAGTCTTTCTTTCGGTCTCGGTCTCGTCTCGACTTTGTCTTGGTCTTGACTCGGTCTGTCTTGGTCTTAGTCTTGTCTTGGTCTCGATACCCTCTGGTCTTGGTAGCGTCTTGGTCTTGGTTTAGGCGGTCTTGACTACAAGTCTACCCATTGTTCGGCTGCCTGCAACTTCTCCATTGTACGCCACAAACGTACAAGCTGCTGAACAATGAAGGGATATTCATTAAACCGTGTGCAGGCTGCTTTCAGGACCTCAAAGACCTTTTCCTGGTTTTCCTTGTTCAAAATGTGTTCAATGAGGGGAGAAAATGAAGTGTCAGATTTGTCTCCTTTACTGATCTTGTTGCGCCTCATGCAGAGGTCCTGCAGGAATCTGTAGTAATCCTGATTTCCAAAATTGTTTTGAAAAAGCACATCTTCTTTGAGTAGTTTCATGGCTATGTCACTCTGCTGCTGGTCATTGCCCAAAAGTTGGTGAAGAACTTCTTTGGCAATCAAGGGATGAAGGATGCGTATGTTTTGAATATGAGTCTTCTCATCTCTCAGATGGATGAAAAGGACTTTGGCCTGCTCGCTTAATGATGATTCAAACAAGTGCCTTCGGAATCTCTCTGCTGGTCTTTGTCCTGTATTTGTCTGCATGGTTCGTAGTAGAGCTTCACAGTGGGACTGAGAGAGATAGGAGTTTTGCACATAAGTATTGAGTAATGCCACATAAAGAATGAGGCGAGTGACAATATCTGCATGGTTAATGCCATCAAGTAAATCTTTCACAAATTTGATGATGTATTGTTTATTAAATTCCTCATGCATCAAAACAAAGGTTATGATGTAATCGGCCGAATATTGCTTTTCAACTTCAGTCTTTTTTCGTTCAAACTCTTTCTTCTCTTCCACTGACAGTTTATGAGTCACAGAAAAATTCTGTGAGGGTGACTCCTTGCACATTTTTTCTGGTTCACGTGATTGTCTGCAGCTTAGTAAAATAAAACACAGTGTCCCTTGTTTGATCTTCCGAGTTCTTATGGCCGATTCAAGCTCTCTCCTTAGATCTTCGAGGTATTCTGTGTCAATATCTTCAACCAGCAAAAGAACTGGAAGACATTTCTGTACATCATCTTCCTCATACTCTCGCAGCCTCACAGCGTGCTCAGCCACTTTTGAAGCAGAGAATGAGGTTCTTGCCACTGCACATCTGAAGTTTTTCCTGTTATTCCAAAGCACTTGCCGTGCAACAGTGCTTCCACCACTACCTGGTTTGTGGTATATTCTAAGATCATGAACGTCTGGCTGTTTGATACTCCACTTGGGAAGGTCACTGATGCTTTTGTAAATTTCTTTATATGTATCTCTCTGAATGAATTCCCCAACATGTTTCTTCTCTGACAACCAAAAATTCATCCAACTCACTTTACCCCCTCGATAAAAATTCTCTTCAATGATTTTGATTTCAACCTCAGAATCAATTTTGATATCATCACACTGGTCAACACTCAGAATTTCTATAGAAGACATTCTTTCTTCTTCAACCTTTTCAAGTCGACAAACACCTTTACTGAAGACAGAAAGATGCTTGAAGACCCTTGTTCTGGAGGGCTGAAGCTGCTGAATTGTAGCATTGACATGGCTCATTTTCATCCCTGAAATACTCTTAGACTGCACAGTCTGAGCAGTGCAAGATGACTGAGCAAAACCTTCCCATTTGCTGTAATTTTCCTCAGACTCTGAAATGCAAATGATATCATCATGACCTTGCATTTCAGCAAAGAACTCATGGAAAGTGTGAACGATCGGTAGCTCCACTGGAGAGGTAAGAAAGAAAATCACAGAGAAAGTGCCGTTTGGTAAGATTTGTTTACAGATCAGACGCACTGCCTCCTTTAGAAATGACTTTCTAGTTTTAATCCATGTCATTTCATCACAGGGAGTCTCGTTTCCACGGAAATCATTCCGTCCATTGCAAAAAATCCAGCTGACCTGTTCAAACAAATGCAATTCACCTTCAAAGTCTTTAATGCTCATTTGATCTGGCATTTTGTAGTTTTGTAAGAAATGCAAATTTGTTGCATGGTGCTCAAGGTATTTTTTACATAATCCAGATGCTTTAGAGTCGGGGTCGAAGTCAAACACACATAAAATTTTCAGATCCAGTAAAAAGTCAATGAATTTCAAATGTTCTTCCTGAAATCTGTTTGTAACAACAATGTGCCACTTTTCCTTTTCAATTTTCCCTTTTCCATCAGTGATCAACACTGCCAGTTTTCTTCCAAGGTCAACACTCACATCTGGAACAGCATGGTCATTTTCGGCTTCTTTTCTAAGCTCATCTTTGTGTCTTAGACTGGAGTAAAACTCTTCCTGATTGCTGATTGGTTCTGTTTTGGAACCATTTCTATAGTACACCGTTTTCTTTTCAAATTCCACCTTATTTGAATCTTCCCTGAAATTCGGCAGACAGACAGAGAACAGTTTGTTGCACACGGTACTTATTTTTGGTACAATGTCAATTTCTACCACATAATATTTTTCTGTGCTATCAATGTCTGAAACTTCAATAAACTCTGGTGGGCGAATACACTCTGCTGCAAGCTCACTGTCAGATTTAAAGCACTTATTCATGTAGTCTAATGCATCAACATACACATCTTTGTCTGTAATAGGAATACCTATTATCTCACCATGAACATAACCAGAGTCGTTCACACTATCCATCACACCGAAGTGTATTGTGCCATTTGTTCGCATGTTCATACATCCACAGGCGAATTTGAAAGTTTCTTTGGCAAGTTTGGCTTGTAACCTCTGATTGTCCAAATCAGCAGCAATTGCAAATGACTTGTATTCATGACAAGGAGAAATCATATCAACAACTCCCGATTCAGGCTTCAACATGTTGTGCTTTGCGTATGTGAAGTTAACCCCCTCTTTGCCAAAAGGCCGAGGTTTGCAGTCTCTTTTCGCAGACAACGCACTAAGAGAAGCTTTTTTCTTTGTTTTTGACTTTATTTTGGTTCCATTCTCACTTAAATCACACTGCTCTTGCTGGTTTGACTGATTTTCACTTTTCCCTGCAGCGACATCTTGAGGCTTAGAAGCTGGAGAAGAATTGGTGAGCTCATCAGAAGATGGATTGGTCCAGATTTCATTCCAATATATAAACATTTTATTATACTATATGAAAATAGGTATATAATTACATCTCCATCAATCTTCCATGCCTACAGTATGTGTAGGTACACAGTCATAGTATATACACATATATATGTAATTTTGAGGGTTCAAACCAATCAACATATTGCAGACTTATTATCATATTAAAATTCACATGAGATCATCCATCCATCCATTTTCTGAAACCACTTCTATTACATGAGATCAATACAAGGTATAATAAACAGCAGTAGAATAAATCTAATATATTAGGAGGAAATTAACTAGTTCAACATGAATTTCAACATCATCCATCCATCCATTTTCTCTACCCGCCTGTCCTATGTAGGGTCAGGGGTCTGGAGCCCATCCCAGAAGCTATCAGTATAAGGCAGGGAATAACCCAGGATGGGGCAGCAACCCATTGCAGAATTTTAACACTGGCTACCGGTCAAGTTTAGGATTGACAACAAATTATTGCTATTGACCTACAAAACTCTGAATGGCCTTGCACCACAATACAGTATCTTAATGATCTTCTGGTCCCTTACAACCCTTCTCGCCTGCTTCGTTCACAAGGAGCAGGATATCTATTAGTTCCTAAAGTAGACAGGGCTACGGCAGGCTGCAGAGCATTCTCTTACAGAGCTCCGCAGCTGTGGAATGGTCTCCCGGCAGATGTGCGGGATTCAGGCACACTCTCGCTTTTCAAGTCTAGATTAAAAATGCACTTGTACTGTATAGCTTAGCGTATAGGAAACCTAGTTCTGGTTCCAGCTAGTCGCTCACTCCGAGTCAGACTAACAGTATGAGG